TAAACTATTATGCTAATAATAATTACTAGACGTGTTAAAGTAAAAAGGAATTTAAGTTTTTTCTCCCATAAAAAAATAAATACAGTAAATGGTATGGCCCAATTCCTATTAAAATATTGTGGTTGTTTTCTTTTAACTTAAGAAAAATTCAGAAAATTTTAGAAATGTCACTTTTTGAAATGTAATAACAAAAGTAGATATATTTGAAAAAATAGCTGGTACAATGACAGCCAATGCTCACTTTTTAAATCCATTGTTAGTTTAAAAATTAGATCACTGTAACAAACAATGACTTGAACAAAATGACAGAAATTTTAAACAAACTACAATTTGTGTCCAGAGTTTTGTAGAACAACAAGATAACAGCATCAGAGACCTTCTCCAGACTGTGGAAGAACAATATAAACAATTAAGTCAACAGCACAGTCAAATAAAAGAAATAGAAAATCAGGTAAGTTAGGTAAGTTAACACTATGTCCAATATGCTACACTGGTTTATGACAACACTGGTCCCTAAAACCATTTTGGAATTTTAACTGTATCAAGTAAAATTATCCCAACAGTATGACCACATCTAATAATCTACTTGCAAAGCTTCCTGTGCAACTGAACAAACTAATTCCTGTGTCTTTCAGTTTCCTCAATATTCTATGAAGAGAACAGCAGAATCTTTCTTACAGAATTGTGAGAAAAGGAATTCATAGCTGATCCTATTAACGTGATCCTATTAAATTTTCAATCGGATCATGAACCTGTTCTGCTTAGAACCCCCACAACGGCTTCTTATCTCACTCATAATCATTCTCAGAACCTGAAATGACCGGGTCTTTCATTATCTTACTGGCTTCACTCACTGGCTCCTCACTGTTATTCAAGTACATCAAACATGGAGCACCTCAAGGCCTTTGCCCTTATGCATTTTTCTCTGTTTGGAGTGCTCTTCTCTCTAGCACTTCTACTTCCTGTTCTTTCATTTTTTTTAGGCTTTTATCAAATACAAAATTCACAAGCTTTTCCAGACCAGTTAATCAAAAATACAACTCTCCATTCCAATTTCCCAAAGCTTCTGCTTCATTTTTTTCTTAACATTTTTATTTACCATAATATATTTTCAGCTATTATCTTGCTTATCCCTGAATTAAAATATAATCAGTGAATCCTGGAATTCTTTTTTCCATTAGTTTTGCTATTATAATCCCACGACGTAGAACAGTGAATGCACATTACAGGTATTCATCTGTTGATTTGTTGAGCTAATCATGGTAATGTCATATTCAGTTTACAGAAGTTAGTAAAGCTTGCTATGGTTGTGATCTATACTATTAAAAAGAGCATACATTAAATTTTTTATTTTATTATTTATTTATTTATTTTTGGTCTTTTTGAGACAGGGTCTCCCTGTAGCCCCAGTTGTCCTGGCACTATGTAGACCAGGCTGGCCTTGAACTCACAGAGATCTGCCTGCCTCTGCCTCCCGAGTGCTGGGATTAGTGCACCACCACGAGTAAAGCATTTATCCTTTCTGGTTCTTTTCCTTTTAATCAGTGTCTAACTTGTTTTGCTTGCTTTGTCCTTGTTATTTATTTTTTGTTCATTAAATAATATGCTTGATTAAATATTTCAAGAACAAAAAGCCTACACAATCTGGAAAGCAATTTTTATTCCTGTTTCCTTGTAGAATTACAGGTCAACCCCAGGCCTCTGCACATGTTATGCAAACACTATGGTAGAGCTACATCCCCAGCCCTTTCAATTATTCTTAGGATAACAAATAGTAACATTCTAAACTGAAAGACACGATTATATAAATTGTATATTTGATTATCTTTACCTAGATTTCCCTAATTATATATTCAATGGCATTTCCTAAAGTAGATTTATATTCTTTTAATAGCTCAGAAAAACTGGTATTCAAGAACCCACAGAAAACTCCCATTCTTCCAAATCAAGAGCACCAAGAACTACGCCCCCTTTTCAGCCAAATGGAACAAAAAATATAGAACAAGATGGTAAGATAATTTGGTGGCTTTCTTTTCTGAAGCAATTATCATGAAATTTCTTATTCTTAGAACCTGATCTAAACTAAAAAGAGTAAAGAGACATAATACCTAATATAATCACCAAATGTCAACTTAAATTAGATCTTGTTCTCTTTAAAAACTATAAGAGATACTCTTTTTTTTTTTGTTTGGTTTTTCTTGAGACAGGGTCTCCCTATAGTTAAATATGATATGAAAATATGGAATGATTATTAGTTTTCATAGATATAAAAATACTACAGTTATAGAAAAGAATAATTTTGTGTTTGTAAGATGCATACTGAAATAATCCAGGGGCTAAAGGTCATGTATTTAAAAATTACTTTCAATTGGGCTGGAGAGATGGCTCAGTGGTTAAGAGCACTGACTACTCTTGCAGAGGACCCAGGTTCGATTCCCAGCACTCACATGGTGGCTACGAACCATCCTTAACTCCAGTTCCAGGGGAATCTGAAGCCCTTTTCTGATGTCTGTGGCACTGCATGACATGGGTACACTCACTCACTTATGAGGCAATACACTCATACACATAAAATAAAAATAATAAAATATTTTTTAAAATTACTTTCAAATAGCACAAACAAAATATATTCATGTGTATAAAGGGGAAAAAAATCACTCTTAAAAACTGAAAGATAACAGCTAGGCATGGTGGCATACTCCTTTAATCCCAGCACTGGGAGGTAGAGGCAGGTGGATCTCTGTGAGTTTGAGGCCAGCCTGGTCTACAAAGTGAGTTCCAGACCAGCTGTGGCTATAGGGAGACCCTGTCTCAAAAAGACAAAAAAAAAAGATTATGTTCTTTTCAAAAATTTTACTTCCCAATCTGCTTAAAAACTTTCATAGGTAAAACAAAAGTTCTAGGGAACAAAGTCACTATTCCTAGCCAAACTTCAACAGAATGATATACTCCCCAAAGTTATTTTTAAGTGATTCATATAGGAAAAGGATCTATATTATTAGTTCTCTTCCTGTGTGTTCTTTTTCTATGTATATCCATTATCCACCTATGAACCAAATATTGCACTAAGTTTCTGCCAGTAATATTCTACATTTAACAAAAAACAATAATAATGTTTTGAAATTTTGATTTCTTTCAAATAAATGAGTTTGGGAATGTTATTTTGATGTTCTTTGTATAATCTGCCATGTAATAAAAATGTCTTAATATAAACATTACTGAATAGTCACCACAATCCATGACATTTTACTTTTTTCTTTTTACTGAATGTTATATAATAACATCTGTTATTTCTAGACATTCCTGCTGACTGTTCTGCCATTTATAACAGAGGTGAACATACAAGTGGTGTATATACCATCAGACCAAGCAATTCTCAAGTGTTTAATGTCTACTGTGATACTGAGTCAGGTAAAACCTGCCGAAAAAGAAAATGCATTGGAGTTAGTTCAAGTTACTCATCACTTATTAGCAAGACTAATCCTGGTATCAACCCATGTAACATGAGTAATCATATAAATTTAGTACTTATATGTTTTATTATGTTATTTATTCAACATTCTCCATTTCCTTTGTAAAATAAATCTTTGGTGACTCTAGCCAGTAAGTGTATCAAGAAAAAGAATTCCTTAGTTGTCCTCAACTGAACTGTTTGGGACCATAATAATGTATAATACCTTAAACTTAACCATATAGTACCAAATTAGCAAATTACCTTATAAAGCCACCAATTAAAACCAAACTCAAAAAACAGGTTTTTTTTAACATATGTAAACACAAACCTACTAAAAATAACTACTGTCATTCACATTATTCAGGTAGTCCATGGACAATAATTCAACACAGAAAAGATGGATCACAAAACTTCAATGAAACGTGGATGAACTACAAAAATGGCTTTGGAAGGTTTGATGGTAAAATGACTTCCTTGAATCATTCATTTACTTGTTAATTTAAAATATTAGCTGGTTGTGGTGGTGCAGGCCTGTGATTCCACCACTTAAGATCAGGAGGAGTAAGGTAGGAGTTCAGGGCCAGTCTGAGCCATATAGTAAGACCCTTTCTCAAAAATAATAAATTAAATAAATAAAGAAATAAACAAATAAATGAGAAACAATTATTGATTGGGCATTAGAAATATAACAAAAAAATAGTCCCAGTCTTCATAAAACTGATTAACAAATATTTACATATTTTTTAATAACTATAATTATTTTAACTACTTATTATCACATATTTGTTCTTAATTAGACTTCCTCAAATTTAATTCAATGGCTGAGGAATACCATAACTGTAATTACTATCAAAGAAAATTGTAAGTACTATGAGCTTTCGTAGGTGGTAAATGCTATGAATGAGCTGCAAAGGTAACTATGCCTAGCACTATAGTATTCTCTGGTTATTATTTTAAGCATAAAATCATACAAAGTTAAAATGGAGCTGGAGGTATACCTTAGTGGTAGAATGCTTACCTAGCACGACCCTGAGATTGACCCACAAAAGCAGAAAGTAATAATAATAGCAAAAATAAAATTTATAAGGGACAGGGTCACTCTCAGATATACTAATTATTTAAATATTAATTTAAAATATTTAAATATTGTAAATGTTACTAAAGAATGTGAGGTTTTAAGTGACATAATGTAAATTATCATATTTTGATCAAAGAACAAATACAAATATGCAAATGATAATAAACATGCTTAAAATCTAAAAAGCACATCACAAAAGTCTATGAATGTTTAAGTAGTCACTTATAAAGTCAAAAGAATTCATTATTAAACCAAAATTTTTAACTCTCAGTACTATTTGACTATTTCAAAGTGCTAGTTAAATCCCTAAATAGTGATATTTTATAGTTCTGACTCTCCTAAGAATGAGTATAACCCTTAAATAAAAGACAGTTCAGAATGCTCATTTATTTCTGATAACAAACTAAGCCACATATAATTCCACTTAATTCTTAGGTGACATTTCCTACTAAGTCAACAGCAATAAGGAAATACTTATTTTTGTCATTACCAGCTGTAATAAGGAGTGTGATAATCTACTTATATTCATGTTTTTAATTCCAAATTAAAATAATTTTTTAATTATAAAAAATTAGAAATGATGAAACATTCAAATATTTTTTAATTTATGAGCCTCCTTTTCTAAGAAACTAAACTTCATATCTGAGAAAGAGGACATCACCATTATCCAACACGAGATAATAACAAGCATTCTCTTGGTTGAATGTAGGTTCATTAACAAATAGCTCATGGAAATGTAGTATATACATACAGATTTACACTCTACTGATGACCAAACCTAAAAATAACTAAAGTAATCTAATGTTTCATATACAAAACACCTTGTAATACACGTTTTATTTTTTGAAACAAAGTTGGAGTTTATTAAGACAAGATTTCAATATAGACTTAAACACAAATTTAACAGTAAGAGTAAGAAAGTGACACTCAAGAAATGCTCAATTGGGTTGAGTATATAGCTCACTGGGAAATGCTTCTCCAGCATACATGAAGCCCTGAGTTCAATCTCCATAATCAAAGAAAGTAATAAAATAAAATAAAAGGGACGGAAAGGGGAAGGGAGGGGAGGGGAGGGAGGGGGAGAGGGGAGGGAAAGATAATGCATATATTCAGATAAAGAGAAACACTTCTCAAGAGTGTGTACTAATATAAATTTGAAAAAGGATTTATTTGGGAGTTTTGAGACAGGATCTCAAAAAGAGTCCAGCATGACCTTAAACTCAGTATGTAGCTGAAAATGACTTTGAACTACAGATCCTCCTGCTTCCACCTCACAAGTCTTGAGATTACAGGCACATACCACCACACTGGCAAAATACTTTAAAAGTCTCCAAAATAAACAGGATTTCAGGCTGAGAGAAATTATTTACTTCAAGCAATCGTAAATATCTTTAGAAACCGGCCAGAGAGCAAGGCACAGTGGTACATGCTTCTAATCACAGAATAGGAGAGGCTGAGGCAGTAGGATCTCAAGCTTCAGGCCAGCCTAGGCTATATAGTGAAACTTTGTCACAGAAAGACAAGTCATTCAGGACACAATTTGTAGCTAATATGTTTTTCAAACTTTTCTTTTTAGGAGAATTTTGGTTGGGTCTAGAGAAGATATATTCCATAGTGAAACAATCCAATTACATTTTACGAATTGAGCTAGAAGACTGGAAAGACAACCAGCATTATACTGAATATTCATTTCACCTGGGAAATCATGAAACCAACTATACACTACATCTAGCTGAGATTGCTGGTAATGTACTCAAGGCACTCCCAGAACACAGAGATTTGATGTTTTCTACGTGGGATCACAAGGCCAAAGGACAAATTGACTGTCCAGAAAGTTATTCAGGTATCCTTCCTCCAATGTCAGTATTTATTTTCTTATCTTCAAAATATGTTCCCACAGTTTTAGCTAATATCTATAATATCATTTCTCTAAAATACTACTCTCAAATAGGTATTCTCTTCAAATTTAAAAACCTGTTAATTATTGCTTTTTCATTTTTAAGATTTACTAATTCTAGTTCAATTAGGTATTTTACCTATAATTCTGCTCAGATACTCTATTTTTTGGTGGTATACATATGCAGATTAATATTAGGATACATGCACCTACAGTACTGTAATGTGTACAGGAAATGAAGATATATTCATAAGAAAACACAATCACAACTAGACATGAAGCATTTATCCAATTAAATTGCGTATTTATCTTCTTTAGGAGGCTGGTGGTGGCATGATGCATGTGGAGAAAACAACCTAAATGGCAAATATAACAAACCAAGAGCAAAATCTAAGCCAGAGAGGAGAAGAGGAATATGCTGGAGATCTCACAATGGAAAGTTATACTCTATCAAATCATCCAAAATGCTGATCCAGCCAACCAATTTAGAAAGCTTTGAATGAACTGAAACAAAATAAAAAGCAAATAAATTAAACACTAAAATCATCCCAAAATATTGTAGTTTAACAATCTAGTATTTAATGGGAGGCTTGAGAAATGAAATTTCAACTAGTTTTAAAGTCACTGTTAAGATTAAATATCATCACATCAACTCAACACCATTTATCTTTCTTAGTCCAACCTATTCCAGAATCATTGGTTCTTATATTATGTGATGTGGAAATAAATTTTAGATGGTCACAATCTACATCATAACTAATGGGTAAGTTCCAAATAATTTAAAAAGAAAAACTTCTCCAATTAAAAAAGCATAGTTTTCCTGCTAAACTGCAAAAAGACTGATATTTTTACAGTTTTTAAATACTCTAGTATTACTACTTTCTAAATTAAATTCAGTCAATTTGAAGTATAGGAAAACATCTGTAATATGAACTTCAAACTCATGCTTTGTTTTGCTATGACATAATTTGGAGTAAACATTTATTGTTTTGTTTTTTATAAAGCAAAGAAAGCAAGGTGCAATACTGCATTGAAACAGGCTCCAAGTCTTTACTAATACAATAGATCATGATGATTAAAAGTCATATTGACTTTTTAGTATCAAGTATCACAGAAACAGCATGTATTTTAGCCTATCTATACTGTGAACATTATATATATATGTGTATATATATATATATATGTAGGTCTTTTTGAGACAGGGTCTCCCTATAGTCCCAGCTGACCTGAACTCACTATGTAGGCCAGGCTGGCCTTGAGCTCACAACGAATGATCCGCCTGCCTCTACCTCCCTAGTGCTGGGATTAAAAAGGTGTGTGCCACTATGGCCAGCTATTTTTAACACTTTATACCATGAAAATAACTTTAAGTTGGATTGTCAGAATACAGTAAGAATGAATGCCTTTGCAGCATTAAATGGAAGTTCTGTAAAAATTTATTTCCCCTGGACATGATGTGAATTCAGTATTTTGTGTCGATTTTTAAATAGAATTAAAAATCATAACATTATCAAATGTTTAAAAAAACCTGATAGATATGTATGTATGTTTAAAATTTAATAAAGACTCTGACATTACAATAAACATGATTATTTCTACCTTAAGTAACTCGAACTTTAAATCCCCAAGGATTCTTAGATACAAATGTTTTACCACAGCATTACCTGTCAGCATTTGTTTCCAAGTAAATTAAAAAAAAATAAAAACTAAACTAAAAAACTAGCCAGGCAAGATGGTACATGCCTTTAATCCTAGCACCCAGGAGGCAGAGGCAGGAGGGTCTGCCTCCCTCGTGCTGGGGTTAAAGGCATGTGTCACTATACCCAGCTCAGATATATTTTTAATATCACATATAAAAGATATATATGATCTATGTGGATTCTATATAAACATTTTTCTGCAGAAAAGCACAAAAGAATAAAAGTAAGACTAAGCTACAATTTTCCAGAACTACATCCAACCTCTCAAAAGTTTGAGTTTTTAAGAGACAAAGGCCAAAATGGCTACCCTGGGGGGTGAAGGGGGATGATATCAGGTGTCTTCCTCAATAACTCTCTACATTACTTTTTGAGACAGAGCCTCTCTTTGAATCTGGAGCTCACTGATTTGGCAGGCTAGCTGGACAGGACTGGAAGCTATTAAATGCAAAATAATTCATCATGTAATATATCTATTGCATCTTCTAGTTGTTTACCTTTTTATTTTCTTAAATTCTCATTCAATATGCTTCATTTTGTTCCTTTTAGGAGTACTAAATTGGTCCTTTCTCCATAGAATGTTCTAACTGAGACTACTGTGATAGAGAAAAAGGAGTTTCTTTATGTTTAAAAAAATGTGCTGTCCCTCTGACCTCACTTATTTAATTAAAATGACTATCACCACCGACACAGTTGTCTGAGTTAAAGGATTTTTCCAGTCTATTGTCCTTTAATTTTCTCTGGCACCTACCAATAATAACAATTATTAGTCTTTTTTTTCAAGTCTTCATTTGCATTCCAATATCATTGTACTCAGCATCTTTTATCTCTTCCCTGGATCCCTCTTCATTAACCCTATTACTTCAACTTATCCTCTTATTTAGTATTATGGATCACTACAATCTTTTTTTTTTTCTTCTGGTATTGGGGGAGGCTTCTGTATAGGGGGTATGTTCATGTAGGAGTGTGCACATGTGTCTGTGGGTGCATTTCCATAGGTCATAGGTTGACCTATGTCTTCCTCAATCACTCTCCACATTACTTTTTGAGACAGAGCCTCTCTTTGAATCTGGAGCTCACTGATTTGGTAGGTTAGCTGGCCAATGAGCTCCAGGAACCATCCTGTCTCTGCTGTCTAACACTGGGTTACAAAGGTACCCTGGAGACTTGGTTTTTACATGGGTGCTGGGGATCCAACTCATGTTTATGTGGTGGGCACTTTACCAACTGAGCCATCTCTCAGGCCCCAATACAATCTTCATTCATCTTTTTTAATATGATTTCTCAGACATTCTATCTACTCTCATGGATTCTTATTTTCCATGGATAAACTTCCCAAATCTATGCATACCAGGTCTTTGTAATAGATCCCCATCTCACATTGCTTACCAGTCACTTCTCCCTTTGACAGCCTAATCTTTTCAAATTCAATGCACTAAGTAATAGAGTCCACCTCCCTCCCCTCACTGCCCTTTTCAACTCTTTTGCTCTACCTCTCTATGCTTTATTTAACTTCTTTTATACCCATTAACATCATTACCACTCTATCAGTCACAGAAGCCTGGAACCTAGACAACATCTCTGGCTTTTAACTTAGAAAGTCTCTTGTATCGCATAAACACCTTCTGAAATGTTTCTTAATCTGGTAAACTTTCAATTGACTTTAGCCTGGTCTACTCCTAGCTTCCTAATTTTATGTTTTTCTTTTCTCCAATCTTACTGTAATAAACTTATAACTTCTTCCTTCCTTCCTTCCTTCCTTCCTTTCTTTCTTTCTTCTTTCTCTTTTTTTTTCATGTCTTTTTTGAGACAGGGTCTCGCTGTAGCCACAGCTGTCCTGGATTCACTATGGAGACCAGGCTGGCTGCAAACTTACAAAGATCCGCCTGCCTCTGCCTCTGCCTCCTAAGTGCTGGGATTAAAGGCATGCACCACCATGCCTGGCCCATACTGTTTCTTTTACGCTTGTCTACTATAGAAGTACAAATGATAATAATAATAAAAATATATCTGTACAGATTTTAGAGTTACAAGATAAAGTGACTTAGCATAGAATAAACTTCTTTTCCAAATTTTATTGGGCTTTAAATTTAAATACTTTAAATTATAAGATCTTAACTTAGAATATATGAGAGTTACATCTCACATTTCATAAATCTATCTTCATATTAAAAGTAATTTTCAGTTGGGTATGGTGGCATGAAACTTTAATCCCAGCACTCAAAGGGAGGGGGGGGGCGGGCAGAAGCAAGCAGATCTCCATGAGTGCCAGGCCAGCTAAGGCTACATAGTGAGAACCTGCTTAAAAAGTTCTTTTTAAAAAACCAAAAACTTCTGAGAAGTGATGCTTCAAGATGAGGCAAGTTTATTATATGGACTTAACATACACTATAGAGCCATACCCTCACAGGAATGCATCCCAGTAGAAGAGCGTTGGTCTAAAGAACAAGAGTCAATCTGACCCCAATTACTATTTTAACAAAAAAGTCAGGGACTTATCACACAGCCTAGCCTAACCTCAAACTTGCAATGCTCCTGTCTAGTCTAAGTGCAGGGTTTACATCTGTGCGCCACCATGCTTGGTTTCTCTTTAACAATTTTATCCTAACATGAAACTGCTCTTTTGAAAACCCTTAAACATTGCTTAAGTATTTTCCCAATTCATTTCACTTGTCTACAATTCCTACCTACTCCTTTCTGACTGAGTAGTACATATTTATATTTGAAGTTCAGATAATCTTTCTTCTACAAATCGAATAAATAGTGGTTTATTCCTCCTCTGAATGGTTTGGATTAAAAGTCTGTGCCCCTCAAATGAGACTCATTAAGTAAAGAGAGAAAAACAAATATAGAAAATTATAATAAAAATTCTGGAAATAGTAACAAAAATATCTAAGAGCATAAAACATTCAATCTACCTGATTTTAGTGAATTACTATTAAATTTCCATACCAAAATTTTATTCTTAGCCAATATGAGAGCAAGCACACACATTTCTCATTTCAGGGTCACCTATTATCATATAATCTACTTACATATTTTCTTATTCTACAATTAAAGTGTTTTTATATGCTTACATCTTCCTAATAATATAACTCAAGCCAGTCAATTTACTCATATATTAATCAGAGATGCATTCAATAACCAATATTTATTGAATGCTTAATTTACAAAACTTATTTCAAATTTGTATTCTTATATATTCTACCTACTATACAGAATAACCATATTTCCCTCTTTTTCTTTCTGTGTGTTTATCATTAACATCCACAAGCAACATACTTATGTATATACTACTAAGTGATTATCTAACACTGCAGTTTTAACACTGAAAAGAAAATGATCAAATAATTGGTTCTTTTCGCAAAGTCCAAAGTATTCTCCATGGGCACAAATCTCCTAGGGCAAAATTACTCAATTAGTGTCAAATGTAAAGTTCAAGGCCATGAACATAAGATTAACAATTTCCCACAATAAAGCCTTCATAAGGTGAAGTTTCAGCTGCATCTTAGAAAGTAAAAAATACAATAAAGAATTTCATCTAAAACGTTTAAGTTGGTCTGAAAGTTCATTTGCTTAGCTCTAAGACAATAGCCAACCTGAAAAATGACTAGGTTTATTTAAAACAACAATCAACAACAACTATAAAGATGTAAAATTGTTGCTGCTCATTGTCAGAGGTAACCAAGCTTTAGTCTACACACTCCACATAAAACAGTCACCTGCCAAGCCTACCTCATTGGGCCATCTTATAAATAATAGTATTTAAAAACACTTATATACTTTAAAAGCCAGTTCTTAGGTATCACTGTTCAAATTCCTTTAAGTAATCTGTTCAGATGCTTCTGAAATGAAAATACCTTAATTCTTAAGAGTAGGTGAACAAAATTGCTTTTTAGTCTGTTACTGTTTCTGAAATTTTAAGTCTCTCCTGGGAGCCTGGAGTAATACTCTAAACCT